CTGCTTCCATCCCGTGTCATTAAGTGTCATTATGCATAAATACTGCAATAGGGAGAGACAGCTGTATGTATGATGTGGTTCCTTTTGTGAACTTGACCCAGGAACAGATTTCTCTGGAGGGAAAAAACCCAAACTGATAAAAAGAAAACAAAATTTCTGATTATTACCCAATCTGGTTCACAGAACTTCAGTAAGAAGCTTGTGCTGTGAAGTTGCAGAAAAGGCCACAAAAACACTGGCAATATTGTAACTGGGCCCTGAGGCTTAAAACTGACTGTAGAGAGACAGCATGATTAAGGGAAAATCATCTTTATTACTCATGTTTCCCAGGACCCTGGAGAAGTTTTTATCTCAAATACTGCTCAGCTAAACATTTTTTTGCAGAGCAAGAAAGAAACTTAATATGAAGTTGTGCTTCAGTATAGCTCATGAATCTAAAGCTTAGCTTAAGCAGGCTTTTTTTGCTTGGTTTGGTTTTGTGGTGGTGGTGTGTTTTGGGGTTTTTGGTGGTTTGGGATTGCTGGGGGTTTTTTGCCTGCTGCCTAATTTTCTAGGAGTGGAATCTTCTTGTGTTTCCTTGACAGGACATTGTCAAGTTGCCATGTTTTTGTTAATTGTAGGAAGAAAAATATCCTCAGCTAATTCTAACTCCTCATAGACTTTCAAAGAAAAATTAGTTTCTCATTTCCAGTCAGATGGCTAAAATGGGCTCTGCTAAGCTTAACTTACCTTCAAAAGTCTCCTTGCCAAAGTTGAAGAGTACCACACCAACATTTCCCCTGTAATCCTCATCGATAACACCAGCTGTCATAAGAAAGAATTAAGAGGGATACCCAGTGAATAAATGTTGTCAGTATATTAAATAAGTAATTAGATAAAGTTCAGATTAGTAGATGACTGCAGTATCTCATACTGATATCCTTTTATACTATATGCACAAATAAACGATACATAAAAATACTGAAATATCTAAAAAAGCTAATCAATCTTGCAAAAAGAACTGAAAAACACTATTACGTATCAAGAAGTGTTTTACCACTGTACTACTAATTCTAGTTGTAATACTCTAACTGAAATCAAGACAGCTGGACCAAAGTCAGGCTCCATTTGTTCTGCTAACTTCAGCTCTTTGATTGTCATGCAGAAATCTGTTCTTAACATTTTATTTGAGAACTATGGATTTGCTCAGATCCAAATCCTGTATCTCAGGCAGGGTAGCAGAACTAAAGCTTTAAGGAATTGATTGTCATTCAGCTACATTCAAGTGTAAATACTGTAAAAGAAGCTTGCTCTTATATTTTACAAAACTGCATTAACTACATAGTTCAGGAGATTATCTACCAATACACGTTAAAATAATAATGTTCTGCTTTTTTGGGGTTTTTCTCTCAGATACAGGAAGCATATTTCCACTAGAAAAACTGGAGTTTGGGCTTCCTTGTTGACCAAAGTATGTACATTGAAGTCAACTTGCAGAAATAATTCAAATACTAAAATTACATATCATTCCAAGACATTTCCAAACTTGTACATACAATTAGTACCTTTTGACTACTGCTAGAGACTGGTTCCCTAGGATTTGAAAACTGACAACTAAAGATGGAAAAGACTGATGAATATTTCTGTGACTGAACTAAAGTCAGTGACATGGAAAACGTAAAAGTCTCTCATTATTCAATACAGGGGGGGAAAACCTCTCCCTAACACACCCTGATTTTAGGCTTAACTATAAAGTAAACAGCTGGTAATAGTTCTACAGATTGTATTGAATATATTTTCTAGCGGGCAAGAATTGCACTTCCTGCACACTTCTGAGGATGAAAGCCTTCCAGAGGATGCAGAGAGGAAGAGCAGACTTCTTCCTTAAAAGCATACCTGATACAAACAGAACTTGCAATTAAAGTTGAAGTTGTGTATTAAGAAAATAACATTTAAAAACATGTTTTGCGCCCAAAGCAATTAGTCTAATGCTGTGCTCAGTAACTAAAAACACTGTCAAAGCCATGATAATTTCAAATTCCATTACAGGCACAGCTGGGTAAAGATTTTGTGAAATGAATTCCCTAGCAATCATTTTCTCTTTAAATGTATTATACGTCCACTCACATAGCCTTACTGAGTTTAACCACCGTGTGGATTCTGACTTCAAACTACACTGTTTATATCAAAGAACATATGATCCTTGGAAGATACAGGAAACTGTAACCCAGGAAGACCTGATCAGTTTTCCTTGTGTAGAGGGTCACAAACTCACTGTATGTAACTGGGCGTACTGGCAAAACACATTAACATCCGTGGCATTCTGTTATTCTGGAACAGCAACTTACAATAATTATGTGCATTGCTGAGGACTAAGACACTTTTCTAAATGATGTGTATTGGGTGGAAATAATCTAAGTCATTTTTGGAAAAACCACGCATTGGAATTGGCAATCTGACATTCTGTCTTACTCTGTCAGAAGTTTGGCACGTCACTTGTTGGGAAAGCATCCACACCTAGCAGATGTGAATTCTGAACATGTTCTTGCACGATCTCAATTTTTCTCCCTGACCCTTAGGACTCTGGCAATGTATTTTCACTTAAATGGATCATGCCCTCATTATGACAAAAGTACTTCTGTAGGACAAGTTAAAATTATGTAGCAATTGTTTTGGTTTTGTTTTGTTTTTTACTAAGTCTCCTACTAACTGTCAATAATAGTTTTTACTTGGTTTGTCAACTGTCAGCTCTTTTAAAATCTGAATATAGGTCATCCTGCTAAGCACTTCTGGTTGCCTTCTGGTATTTCCTAGTTTAACTTTCATATTGAAAAGCCCGTTACAGAGCGTACATATTTTTTCATATAAACAAAATTGTTTTAGAAGTGTTGCTTTAAAGAACCACACTATAGTAGAACCATATATAGTGCAGAGAGTCATAGGGGTGCAGAGAATCTTTGATTCACATCTTACTGCTCTTTTGTAAGTTACCCAGCAACACTTAAGCCTTAGTGTACCAGGCATGCAAGAATCAATTCTTATTTAAGACAAAGACTGAATGACACAACACTGGCACAGATGTTCCCCTTTAACCTCCAATATCAGAATTGTATCACAGGCACAGCCAGACTTTGATATGCCATAAAGCAGACAGAATAAATTAGTTCTGCAGCAGCTCTAAATTATACTGAGAATTGCTTTGCATTTTGACTGGCTTGGCATCAGGAAGAGAAGGATGCCTACAGTCACCCCCTCTAGAGCCAAGCCTATAAGCAAGGAAAGGCTGAGTACCCCTGTCCTAAGTAGTCTCTCTTGTTTAACATTGGGGGGGAAAAAACCCCCAACCAAACAACAAAAAAAACCAAACCTAGCAAAGAGGAACAGGCCTCAGCTTTTCAGCACACTTTTCTTGTCAAATTCCATTATGACTCAAATTATAGTGTGCTTGCAAAAAATGTGCTCTCTGGGCCACCCAGCACTTTTGAAGACAACCATTAGATGCATCTTCTTCATGTCATTACATCAGAAATGCAGGTTTTGGTTCTCTTACTACAACCTATTGCCAGAAAAACCAATTGCTTAGGGTTTTAGGAGGCAGAAAACATTCTATTTAACTTAGAACTGTATTCTTGTACAATTAGAACAACATAATAGACGATTTAGTGCTACTCAAATTGCTGTGGTTACAGCTGTGCTGAGAATAATTCCACAGTAATCGTAGTGGTGAGAATTTCTGTGCAATGTAGATGCCATTTGATAATACAATACTTAGAAAATCTGCCTGTGCTCTGATCAGCCCCACTGCAAAACTGGAACTGAACTCATTTACTCCATGTTGCAGTTAGAGGGATAGGGCAAAAGGACAGTGAGGCTTTTATGAAGGCCTCTTTTTGAAAAGGTATCTGAATCTCTAATCAAGATTAAAGAAAAGCTCAAAATATTTTTAAAAAACACCCTGCCATTCAAAACAAATCTGTTGCTAGTACTAAACAAAAAAAAAAGGTAATGACTTGTAGAAAGTGGGATTTTAGTTTTATTCCTGTTTCAAAAGACTTTCAGTTTTTAAGTCAGTGTACGAAGTTACAGGTTTAAATTTCATTTGGTTTACATAATTTATTACAGTAAATAACTAAGTAACTAAAGCTCTTTTCATACTAATAATCAGTTCTGCCCATAGTAATGGTGTACTCCAGTGCTTTCTATCATTCCTTTTGAATATCATTATTATCTATTTTCTGTGTAAAGAATAACTTTGTTATTGATTTAATTAATTCAGATCTTACACTAGACTGAAAAGAATCACAGACAGATGTTTAGTCAAAATGGAGAAAGCAGAATGTAAAAAGTTATCTTTAAAGCCTAAACCAAAAATAACTTCTATGCCAGGCATTGCCTACAGAAGTACGATGCGGTTATTTAAGAAAAGCAAGTAATATTTTTATAATTCACCAGCTTTTAAAATAATTATGATGCACTGGCTCTCTGAGGTATTACCAGGCTATCTCCTTTTGCCAGATACTAATGAAGCTAGCGGTATTTATTTACACATATTACAATGTGAAATTAAGGCACTTCTGCAGTCAAGATTTACAAAGTCTTAGTAAAAGCAACAAAAATCTTACCACCAACATCTATGAAGTGCTTTGCAGCTAAACCAGAACGCGGTGCTAGAAAACAAGAAATTTTTAATAAGTATAGTAATTTATTTCTTTTAAAACTCTTACACAATATTTATAGATCAGTGTGTTTGCACAGAGTCGTGGCAGGAAGAGCTGTTTTCACAGTCTGTCTAAAATAAACATGATTTTACAGGAACTACTGTAAGTGCTAATGTATATATTAAACAAATTAACAGCTGCTACAGGCTGCAATACAATTGCAATCTTTAAGTGATACAAGCATATCTTTCTTTAGACTACCAATTGCAGAGTAGATTTCTCCAAGGAAGGTGGCTGGAGCAGACAATGACTATGTGATCTTGGTTTATTTTTGGCAGCTACCACTGGAATAATCTCAAAAGACTATTAGGTCAACCTATGCAAGTTACGAAGGAAAGCAATAAGCAGGCAATTTACTAAGAAATATTACACACAAATTAAACGATGTGAAGGCCTTTTTTTAAACTTACCTTAGCATACTTTGAGATGCTAAAATGTTACTGTCCTATATTTTATTTCTCTGGGATAAGAGAAATACACTTGCATTCTCCTTTTAGATGAAAGGACATGGCAAACTGATCACGCTCTTCCACTGGAGTAGCTATTGCTCTTTTTTACTTTAAGAATTTACACATAATTGAGAAAAAGAATGAGCAAAACATAACAATATCTTGTACAGTTCTCTCGAGCATTCTGTCACAAAAAGCAGTCAAATTCTACTACACTGGTACTCTAACGTCAAGGTTAATTTTTAAACATCCAGGGGTGTATTTTCTGTGTGTCCATTATGTATTGGTCCTTGTGACTTGAATTCTGAAACTGCAGAGAAATAATGAACTACTGCATACCCTAAAGTTGTATGTAAATTATGAATATTTTTGCTGATCATCTTTTTGTCCTTCGACATACACCAACCTTGAAATGTATTTGACAAGAAACGTCTATTACAAGGCTTAATAAATCACACAGACATGTGACACCTCTTTTTTTGTGTAGACTGATTCTGAAAGCAAAATCTAGATGTGAAGATGGCATCAAAGCTGTTCTATGTGACTCTGCAGCCTTTTTATAGTTCACTTACCTACTCGGCCATAGCATCCAGAAGGAAGTGCAATTTGAATGTCTGTTTTCACTACAGCCTTTTCCATGGGTGGTATCGCACAGTCATAGGCACTACATTAAGGAAAGAAACACTAGTTTATATAGGATGACTTGAAAATTTTCTTCTCTGTAACTTAAGGTACAAAATTACCCATATATTCTTGCTGGGAATTTATACAAGAAATATTTACAGATTGTCAAAATCAAATGCAGATCCTAAACCACAAGATATTACCATTTTGATGGTGCTAGCTTAAGGTTTCAGGAGTGTCATTTGAACAGCATAGTCTTAAGATTGCTAGTTTTAAATGGTTTTTAACTAGTAAGACAGACAAAAAATACAAGTTTAACTTTAAATTGACCATTACATGAATGGGGTTGTGCAATTTTTATGCAAAAGCAGAAACTTTAAGGATAATACATTCTTCTCATTAAGCTTTCTAAAGCACATGAACTAGTTGCAATCAAAAATAATTATTAAGTTAAATTTTAGGCAACAGTAGTTTTTTATGAGCAGGTCAGAAGTTCATGATTCACATGAGTCTGTTGGGAACTGCAAACTAGAGAGATTTTAAGAACTTTCTGAAGCTACCTGTCTGGAGCCTTAATGAAAGGCAGCGGTGACAATATCACAGTGAGGCTGTTCTACTGGTTTAAGGGACTATATCTTGGCCTTGGCAAAGACCTGATTTTTAAACACTGGGAAGCACTGAAAGGTTTTTTATGAAATGGACTTCTTCCAGGTGTACAGTGCACCACTGGAACAAGAACAAAGACAAACCTGGTAAGACAAAAGGAATCAAAGGAAAAGTGTCAATGTGGTGAAGTAAGGCTTCAGGAAGCAAGTCAGGTGAGGAAAAAAAAAGCTGATTATTTTAAGTAATACTTAGAAAGGGAAGCTAGAGGAGGTCAGAGTGGAGTTCAGATATAACTAGTGATTGTACTTGATCACAGAAGCACTATGCAAACAACCACAACCCTAGCTGCAGATATTCCTGCACATAGTGAAAACCTTTGAACAATGGTTATTATCGGTTCAAGCGAACCAAACCCTGAGTGCCAGTACAGCAACCCACACGGTTTCCAGCGAGGAGCGCTATCGTACTGCCACAGCTTCCTCT